CCTCACCCCCAGATGCCCCACTAGGCCCCACCCTGGGTCTCCTGACCTCAGCCTTCCCAGCTGACCTTGGACTCTGCCTCTCCTTGTCCCCACAGAGCTCAGGGCAATTGTGACCCTGAGGCGCCAGTGACCGAGGGCACACGCTGCTGCCGCCAAGAGATGTACATTGACCTGCAGGGGATGAAGTGGGCTGAGAACTGGGTCCTGGAGCCGCCGGGCTTCCTGGCCTACGAGTGTGTGGGCACCTGCCAGCAGCCCCCGGAGCCTCTGGCCTTCAAGTGGCCGTTTCTGGGGCCGCGGCAGTGCATCGCCTCGGAGACGACCTCGCTGCCCATGATTGTCAGCATCAAGGAGGGGGGTCGGCCCCGGGCCCAGGTGGTCAGCCTGCCCAACATGAGGGTGCAGAAGTGCAGCTGTGCCTCGGACGGAGCGCTCGTGCCGAGGAAGCTGGAGCCGTAGGCGCTGGGAGTAACCACTGAGGGCTCTGACTAAACACGAGCATCAAAGCAGGTCTTAATGTAGGTTTTAGTTTTCTACTAGCAACGTACCCCTGCCCGAATTAGTGCACCTATTTTACCTTTCCCGAATTAGTGCACCTATTTTACCTTTCCGAGTGTCCTTCCATTTCTTGTCCTTTTCCATCACCCTAAGCACTTACATGAGTAACTACTGCCACTCGGGGTTGCTGAGTAGGAAGTCCCGGCCTATTTGTTAGCGGATGCAGCTGAGCTACTACTGTTCGCTGGCAAATTGTCAGCTGAATATGGGATAACACTCCCTATGATAAGAACTAGGGGAAAAGAACTGATTCACTCTATTACATGATGAATGAAAACAATACCAAAAAAATCCCTGTGTTTCTCTTAGATAGGGAGGATGTCTAAAAAAGAACCTCCAGCCCCCCAAATGTTGACCCATTCTGGACTTTCATAAAAATACCTGGGTCCTTGTTCTCCTGAGAGGGTGCTCAGGGGGAGGGCTTCAGGCTGGACAGGGAATCAGGGTGCCTGGTTTCTCGATGGAACAGAGCCACAAGCTGTGACCTCAGGCAAATGCAGAAGTCTTTGGGCCACCATGTCCTTGTAAAAATAAGGAGGTGGGATCAACTCTAAGATGTCATTGCTTTGGGGATCAGACAGCCCTAACCTCACCCCCTCCTCCTGCAGGGGAGCACTGCCTGTGCCTATTTAGTTACCTCCCCCACTGTTTTAGAGAACTTAGCACCAGTTAATACCACATGTACTTACAATTTGTTTAATTATTATTTAGCAAAAAACAATTGAATATAATCTGCTGAAATAAAAGTGATGTTTCACTCTGTTGTCTCTGTATTTAATTTCTAGTATTTAATAATCTTTGTATTTCTCCTGTACATAGGAGAAGGGAACAACAATGGGAAATGAGAGCAACATAATGATCTGAAGAAAGGGGGACCCTCCAAGGGCCCCCAACTTCTGGAGTGCTGAAGACAGCAATAACTCAGTTTAGATTTCACTTTCATTTATAACATTGATAGCCCCTCCCCAACGCTCATCCCCAAAATAGTATTGTAAGCCATCAGTCACATGTCACCTCTTTAGAAAGCACTTCAACCCTTGCAATAGTGGTTATGGGGACACAGAGGGGGGTGACAGTGGTGTGGTGAGCAAGCTAACATTTACTAAGCATGCACGATGAACCAGAGAGCTGTGCTAGGCAATTTCACACACATTACATCACTTAATTCTTGCAACTATTACTTGAGGTAGCTGTTATTATTCCCATTTTTCAGATGAAGAAATCAAGACTGAGGCAACACAAGTCTGTTGACTCTCTACCCCATGGAATGGGCTATAAACTCTTTCCCACCCCACGCCCCAGTCAGCGTGCTCTGCTGATGACACAGGCATTAGGTTAACATGTCATTTGGAAGCCACCACATCTGGCAAGTCCCCTACACTTACCTTTCCCAGTTAGCTGGGTTTCCCTATGCCTTACCATTGAAGTTCATGGACTCTCTCTTTTTACCCACAGTGCTAATTAATAGCAACTGAATAGTGGAGGAAAAACTGGAGCTAGTCTATAGACAGCCAGGATTTGAAGACATGGCAAGAATATTGTTGGAGGTAGGTTGGAGAGGACTTGGCTCTGACTTGTAAGTGGCTAGATCACCTCCATAAGGCATCAGACTGAAGCCTTCCCACTTGGGCTGCTGTGAGAACTGGGGCGTACTGTACAAGAAGGGTATCAATATCATCTGAAGAATTCCACCAGCTATTCAGTGACACATCTGTGGCTCTAAAACAGCGGTTTTCAACCTTTCACAGGGGTCGCCTAAGACCATCGGAAAACACATATTTTCGATGGTCTTAGGAACTGAGACACCGCTCCTCTATCCGTCTCCAGGCCCACATGCAGATACGCCCACATACAAGTACCCGGCGACCCCTGTGAAAGGGTTGTTCGACCCCCCAAAGGGGTCGCGACCCACAGGTTGAGAACCGCTGCTCTAAAAGGTCTGTGGACTCCTAGCCAGTCACATGCAATCAGTAGCAAGGATGGGCCAGCTCACACCACCCATGTGAGCTCAAAAATCTGGGTGATTGGCTTCATTTCACAATGTAAGCATGTGCTCATCAGCTCAGGAAGATAGTGAGGTGGGCAGAATGTTCTCCCCAATTACGTCCATGCTCCCTTAATCCTTGAAATCAGTGACTATGTTAGGTTACGTGGCAAAAGGGGCTTTGCAGGTGTAATTAAGGCTATAGACCTTAGAATACGGAGAGCCTCTTGGATTACACAGGTGCACCCCATCTAATCATATGATCCCTTCAAAGTAGAGGACTTTCTCTGGCTAGAGGCAGGACAGGAGGCAGAAAGGGAGGGCAGAGAGATTTGAAGTGTAAGAAGGATTTGACCATCCATTGCTGCTTTAAAGATGAAGGGGACCAGGAAACCAGGAAACGTGAGTGGCCTCTAGAAGCCGAGAACAACTCCTGGCTGATAACCAGCAAGGAAAGGGGACCTCGGTCCTACAGTCATATGGAACTGAATTCTGCTGACCACATGGATGAGTCTGAAAGCTGATGCTGCCCGGAGCCTCCAGGTGAGGACTCAGATCAGCTGACACCTTGATTTGACCTATGGGACCTGGAGCAGAGAAACCAGCTGGGCCCACTCAGCTGGAGAGGGAGAGGGGGCAGGACTGGTAGGTCAGGGGATTGGAGGAGCGGGTAAAGGCGGGCAGTCCTGGAGGCTTAGTGAACGTCCCCATTTTCTTTCTGGACGTCTCTGTTCAGATGGAGTAGAAGGCTACAGTGCGTACTCAAGGAGACAGGTGCTAAACATACAGAGTATCTGTCCATGGCAGGATACCAGCACCAGGCTGGGGCTTTCCTCGAGGGTGTATCCTGAGTGGCTGGGTGGGGAGGACGGGCCTTTCCTCTTCTCATCTATCCCATCCCATCCAACATTTTAGCGCAAAGGAACTTCACAGGTGTCAGATGGCAGCCATGGCGGAGGCCACAGCGCCAATGAAATGGGCCGTTAAGAGTCAGCAAGGTTATTACAAGAGAATAAAATGAGATTGCCTACAATTAAAATATATAACACAACTTTGCATATATAAACTTTAAACTTTGGAGAGGACAAAATAATAGATCTCAAAATACCACAAAAAATAGCCAGTTTCTGGCCAGTGGGTCACATTTCCAAGCTTAGTCTGGAGGACCAATGGCTTGGCTGCTCCCTCTTACGTGGCCTGCCCTGGCTGGGGACCAAGCCAGCACTGGAGTCACCAGCGTGGCCTCCTGTCCTAAGCCCTTGTAGTCACCCTCCTTTTCCACCTCTACTCCTGGAAGCTGAGACGGGAGATAACAAGGCAACCAAGTAAGGGATGGATGTGTGTAATGGGTCTGATAGGAGCAGACACCATTGGGTCAAACACTCCACTCCACCCCAACACACACACACACACACACACACACACACACACACACACGGACTTTTGTTCACAGCTGTACCCCAGAACCTGGCTCAGTAAATATCTATTGAATGAGTAAATAAACCTAATGTTGATCTTTGGGAGAATGGTTAAATTAGTGGCATGCTAAGTAGTTACTAAAATCTTGTTTTAAATAACTCCGCAGTGACATCGAAAATGCTTATTATGTATCTAGTATAGAAATTTGAAAACTTTATGTGTATCACTTATTTCTGATGATGGAAAAAATCTATATCTATATAGATATATATATGGAAAATAATGTAGGAAAATACACCAAAAATATTTATAAGAAACTATCTTTAGGAAGTATGATTATGGGTGATTTTGACTTTCACTTTTTTTGTATTTTCAAAATTTTCCTCCATATGCATGTATTACTTTTCTAATCATAGTCATAAAAGCATTATTTTGCTTAATAATAAACATTTGGTCCTCACTTTTAAGGGTGCAGAAACTGAGGACCTGGGTACTCGCTCAGGAATGGGATCCGCTAGGAGAAAATCGCTGGAAGCGGCCCCCTCCTGGGGGGTGTGGGGGGGTGAATACGGAAAGGACTAGACAAACTGCACAGTGGAGGGGCTACTACGTTAGCTAGACCCTAGGGAGCCGGTCATTTCCTAAACAGAGGAACTGACCCTATTTGCAATCTAGTTAAGACCAATTCGCGTGAACCACGCAAGTTCAAGTGAAGAACCGCGGCTGTCCCCGCCGCCCCCTCGCTTCGGCCGGGAGGAAGCGGGCGGAATCCCAGGGCGCACGGAGGCGCCTGGCTCGGAGCCCACAGGTCTCCACGATTCTATCTGAACCCCTGCCGGGGTTTGGGGGGGCTGGGGGGGACGGAACATAGTCTTCCCCTCAAATCGGCAACCTGGAGAACTCCTCTGGCTCACGACCGGCAGCTGATGGCAAGCGCCAGAAATAATACAATACCGGCCTCAGCCCTCGACCACCAGCCGACAGCCGCGGAGGTGTCGGAACCACCAGTGCGACCTCGGGCGGAGCCCGGGTCCGGGGCAGACGGCGTAGTGTTCCACGCGCAGCGAAGATCCCGGCTTCCGGGCGTCGGGTCCGAGGTTCGGCGCACCAATCCCGTGCACAGGAGGCGGGCGCACAGCCCCGACTTGGTCTCGGATTGGTCGCCTGGGCGGGGCGGGGCCATGTGTGGCCGTGCGGCGTGGGTCTGAGTGCGGAAAGGTGGCGCGATCCGGACCGGAAGCTGTTGGAAGGTCCGTGCGTCTGGTTCCCGGATCGCGCCCGGTGCTGGGCCTTTGCACCCGCAGCTTATCCCCAGCGGTATCTCCGGACCCGCGTTCGGTGGATTCCTGCTGCTGCCGGGTAGACGCCGAGCCCGGGACCATGAGCGTGGGCTTTATCGGCGCGGGCCAGCTGGCCTGTGCCCTGGCGCGGGGCTTCACGGCCGCAGGTGAGCGAGTGGAGGCGGGAGGAGGATGCGTGTGCGGCCCCTTGCCTAGCCTGCGAACCGCCTGCCGCGCCACTCATGGACCCATGAATGACTGAATGAACGAAGAAGAGGGGTATCTGCGCCTGATGGGGGAGGCCTGCTCATCATCAGGAGAGCCTTCTGTCGGTGTAAGGGATGGAGGGGGAAGAGGGAGACCGGCACTGTTAGCGGTGGTGGGTTTTGATTCTGCTTTCCCAGGGCAAGTGTGGGAACCGGGTGGGCCATGATCCCCAGTTGAAAAGCCTTGTCTGCGGCAGGCATCCTGTCGGCTCACAAGATAATAGCCAGCTCCCCAGAAATGGACCTGCCCACGGTGTCTGCGCTTAGGGTAAGTGGGGCGTAGGGGTGCGGGGGGGGGGGAAAGGTGGAGACCCAGGAGAAGGATGCCCTGATGCGCTGAGCCCCTGGGGTGTAGGCGGCGGCGCTGACCTCCCCACCAGGACCATCACTATCCTCCACGTTCCCCGGGCGCAGCTCAGTATGGTGGGAGCACCCGGACAAACAGCCTGAGGTCAAATCCAGGCACTGGGATGATTAGAAGTTTAATTGAGGTATTTATGTATGGAAAGCACCTGGCACATAGTAGGTACCCAGTAAATGCTTGTTTGGCTTCATTCATGGACTAGCTGTGTGACCGTCAGGTACTCTGAGCCTCAGTTTCCTCATTAATAAAAGAATGGAGACCACAGTAGCCACTTGGCTGAGTTATTCTGAGGCATGAATGAACGAACGTGTTGGGAAAGAATCTGGCAAGTTAGTTGTTCCCCTCTAAAGAAAAAATATCCCAAGCCTTCACCCATAATCTGGGCCGTGTCACCGGTCTAATGACGCAGGTGACAGGCAGCGTCTGTGTCTAGGATGGCTGATATTCCTAGCACTGGAGGGTCCTGCTTCTCAGTTTGGAGTCCTAGAGGAATGGGTGTCCTCCAGGCCGCTCTGGACCACACAGAGACCATGCAGTTTGATGAGCAAGTTTCCGGGGTTGGGATAGGGCCTGACCCAGCTCTGCTTCCCACCATTGGGCGCTAGCATTTCACCCTTCCCTTTGCCGCTTTCCAGCCATGGAGCCTCCTTACCTGGCAGAGCCCTGCCTTGGGTGCCAGCTTGTTGGGGATGTGGGACAGCTCTTTCCTGGTTGCCATGGAGAAGCTTGTCCATGCCCAGCACCTATGCTCACTTGCCCAGTAGCAACATTGGAAAACTAGGTGCTAGTGGGGGGAGGGGCAGACCCTGAGAGGACAGGGCAGGGAATTCCAGGCTGAAGCGGGGAGAGGGCTTGTCAGGGGTTCAGCTGCTGCTTGGGAGGGCCTGGGCCTGGTGAGGCTGCCCCGCACTGTGAGCCACGCAGTCTCCTCCTGCAGAAGTTGGGGGTGAACCTGACCCGGAGCAACAAGGAGACAGTGAGACACAGTGACGTCCTGTTCCTGGCCGTGAAGCCACACATCATCCCCTTCATCCTGGATGAGATCGGGGCCGACGTCCAGACCAGGCACATCGTCGTCTCCTGTGCAGCCGGTGTCACCATCAGCTCTGTGGAGAAGGTGCCTGTCTCAGCCCTGGTGCCCCGTCTGAGGGGAGGGGTGGGTGCTAGTGGGTGCTGGGTCCTGGCAACTCAATCAGCCCTCTTCCTTGCTTCAGAAACTGATGGCGTTCCAGCCAGCCCCCAAAGTGATTCGCTGCATGACCAACACACCTGTGGTAGTGCGGGAGGGTGCCACGGTGTACGCCACAGGCACCCATGCCTTGGTGGAGGATGGGCAGCTCCTGGAGCAGCTCATGAGCAGCGTGGGCTTCTGCACTGAGGTGGAGGAGGACCTGATCGACGCCGTCACAGGGCTCAGCGGCAGCGGGCCTGCCTACGTGAGGCCCCATACTTATTCAGCCTTTTGGGGACCCAGGAGAGCAAGACGGGATGGCAGGCAGGCTTGGGGGTGTCGACTACCTCTTGAGCACAGTTGGCTGGTAGAGGAGGCTGATCCTTGGTACTAGTTCCAGGCATCAGGAAAAGCAGAGCCTAAGGGATGCCCTTGGTGCCTGCTGCCCCAGGACTCAGTGAGTGTCTCCATAGGCGTTCATGGCCCTGGACGCGTTGGCTGATGGTGGAGTGAAGATGGGCCTGCCGCGGCGCCTAGCAGTCCGATTGGGGGCCCAGGCCTTGCTGGTCAGTATCTTCCCCTTGCATGCTCTGGACAGGATATGGGCTGGGGGTGCTTGTGTGTCAGTGAGCTGGGGACGGGTTGGTTGCGAGGCTGGGATAGTTATTGGGGAAGAGCAGTGGTCGTGGAGAAACCTGTCTTAAGGTGCATTGGCAGTTCGCTCCTCTCATACTCCCTTCCTGCCTTAGGGGGCTGCCAAGATGTTGCTGGACTCAGAGCAGCATCCAGGCCAGCTCAAGGACAATGTCTGCTCCCCTGGAGGGGCCACCATCCATGCCCTGCACTTCCTCGAGAGTGGGGGCTTCCGCTCCCTGCTCATCAATGCTGTTGAGGCCTCCTGCATCCGAACACGGTGGGTTGCTCTCCTTCTCTGCCCCAGGCCCCCCTATTCCCAGCTGGCCCCTGGGCTGAGCTGGGCTGGGCACTGTCTTGCAGAACCTGTCGTCTTTGGTCCCATTAGCAGTGTTGGAGTCTGTGCTCTTTTAATAACCATGACTTATTAGACTTTGTTTAGCTAAGGGTTGGCAGGTCTTACTTCATTTAATTCTCACCACCGTTCTGATAGTTGGGATTAGCTTTGATTTATAGATGAGGACGTTGAGACTCAGACGCTTTTTCCCAGGGTCAAACAGCTAATAAGCAATTGAGACAGGATTTAGCTTCAAGTTCATGAACTCCAAACCCTGTGACTTGACACACTCTCTCCCATATGATCACAGATACCACCTGGCACTCCATCTGTAGTAAACCGTACTTAGTTAAAGAGCACTCTACGCAGCTTGGGAGAGTGTTTGGTTTAGGTTCTCGTCTTGGGTGGTATCATGTCGGCAAGGGTTGGGGGTTATGTGGACGGGGAAGCCTCGCTACACTCTGCTCCAACGTTTATTGCCTTCCTCCTTCAACCTCTCTCGGGCTTTGTCTGCAGAGAGCTACAGTCCATGGCTGACCAAGAAAAGATCTCCCCAGCTGCCCTCAAGAAGACCCTCCTGGACAGAGTGAAGCTGGAATCCCCCACAGTGTCCACGCTGACCCCCAGCAGCTCAGGGAAGCTCCTCACAAGAAACCCGGCCCCGGGAGGCAAGAAGGACTGAGGCAGCCTCTGCCCCCTCTCTGTGACTAGAGCCCTCGCCTGAGGGGGCCATGCAGGGTGAGGCCAGATCCTTGCTATAAAACCTCCTTAAATCTGTTCAGACCAAGCAGCCCTAGTTTCCCTTGCTGTCCCATGCTGGAAGATACTCTGAAGGGGTGGGTGATGCTGGAAACCAAATGTCTCTGCACACCTCCCACTGTCAGAGCCCCAGCGCAGGTAGCAGAGTCCGAGGAACTCTTCAACTGGGGTTCTCCAACTGGAGCCCAAAGCAGGGTCAAGTTTGATACCACGTCAGGGAGGTGAGCGGTACAAAACATGACAAGGGCATTTCTCTTTGAATGGAAAATGAGCAACTTAGAATTGTCACAATTAAGCAGAAATGCACTAAATGAGAATGCTCACTCATTTAACTATCACTTTGTAGGTGCACCATTGAGGAAGTGCTGTTTAGCTGCTTTAATAAAGTTTTATTTTATATTACCCTGCTTTTCTGCTTTTCTTTTTTTAAAGATTTTATTGGGGAATTGGGGAAGGGGAACAGCCAAGTTGTTGTCCTTCAATCTTAGTTGTGGAGGACGCAGCTAGCTCAGCTCCCAAGTCGCCATCTGGCCACCTGTTGGCAGCTTGCGGCCGCTCAGCTCAAGGTACCGTGTTCAATCTTAGTTGCGGGTGGGCATAGCCTGCCACCCCATGCGGGAGTCAAACGTGCTGTCACCAGCTGAGCCATCCTGCCACCTGTTGGCAGCTCAGCGGCAGCTCAGCTCTGGCGCAGCTCAGCTCTGGCGCAGCTCAGTGGCCCATGTGGGAATCGAACCAGCAGCCTTGTTGCTCAGAGCTTGCACTCTTAACCAGCTGAGCCACTCAGCTGGCCCTTTACTGCTTTTCTTAATGCTTAATCATTAGTCAGCATTCTAGAGAACTCAAGGCCCTGACCAGGTGCTCCCTGCTTCTGTGGGGAGCACTAAGGACACAAAGTAAGGAGAATAAATCCTCCCTCAGAGGACGTCTTTATAGAAGATGCTGAAGCCTAGAGAGGGTAAGCAACCCAGCTGAGCTGCTGCTCAGTGGTGGGGGCTGTCCGTGTTCTTAGCCGCCAGCTGTCCTCAGAAAAGTTACTGAATATCTCTGACCTCAAGATTTCATCCTCCGTAACTATGGTCATGCTTCATGAAAAGGCTTTGGTGGGTGCGAAGTGAGACCATGTGGGATTGCTCACAGAAGATCTAGAACACCGTGGACCGCTTGTCTTTCACCTGCTGAGGAGGGAAGGAGAGCTTTCTGTTCCCAGGGCAGCCCTGGCTCCAGCTCCAAACCTGAGAGCCCATGGGGAAGGCTGACTCCTGTGGGGCCAAAGTGACAACAATAATAAAAGCTATCATTTTTACGTCCCCCTTACATGGCAGGCCCTTTGCAAATCCCTTTCGTAAAACCTCATGGCCTTAGGACTGGTATAATTTAAAAGTAACGTGACACTCAAAGAGGTTAAATTGCCCAAAAAGATTCAAATAGACATTTCACCAAGGAAGATATACAAATGGCACGTGAGCACATGAAAAGATGAGGGAAATGCAACTCAAAACCCAATGAGATGCCACTTCATGCTCCCTCTTTAAAAAAAATGTTGGCAAGAATGTGAGAAATTAGAGCCCTCGTGTATTGCTGGTAGGGATGTAAAATGGTACAGCCACTTTAGAAGACAGTGGCAGTTCCTCAAACAGTTAAATTGAGTACAGAGGACCCAGAAACCACTCCTAGGTGTGGACCCAGGAGAATAAAAACACGTCCATACAAGACTTGCACACAAATGTTCAGGGCAGCATTATTCATAATAGTCAAGAAGTAGAAACAACCCACGTGTCCATCAACTAGTGAATGGATAAAATGTTATACCGACACGATGGAATATTATTCAGCAATAAAAAGGAAGCACTGACATACGCTACAGCACGATAAACCTCAAAAGTATTAAGTGAAAGAAGCCAGTCACAAAAGGCCACAAAGTATATGATTCTATTTATATGAAACGTCCAGAAAATGCAAATCTACAGAGACAGGGTGGTTGTCTAGGGCTGGGGTGGGACTGGGAAGAGCACGAGGTTTCTGTTTGGGGTAATGGAAAGGACTTAAGAGAAGATTGTGGTGATGGTTGCCCAACTGTACGTAGATGGTCTTTGAATTGTACACTTAAAAGTGAGTGAATTTTATAGCATGTAAATTACACTTCGTAATGTCAAGCAAAATAAGTTGCCCAAGTTTTTTGTTTTTTTAATTGGGGAACTGTTTTTTTTTTCTTTAAATTTTATTGGGGAACAGTGTGTTTTACTAGGACCCATCAGCTCCAAGTCAAGTAGTTGTTTTAATCTACTTGTGGAGGGCGCAACTCAGTGGCCCATGTGGGGATCGAACCAGCAACCTTGGCTTTATGAGCACTGCGCTCTAACCAACTGAGCTAACCGGCTGCCCCAAGTTGCCCAAGTTTTAATTAGCTAGGAACTGGTGCCAGGATTCAAATCCACCTCTGATACCAAAACCTGTCCTCTGTACTAGGCCTGCTGGTGAGCTGTCCAAGGTGACAGGAGACTGTCCCCTCACCACCCGTCCTCTACCCTCCTGTAAGGCTACCCCCTTTCCAGGCCTAAATCCACCCACATGCTTGTACATTTACTGAGAGCCTTGCTGCATGGGGTAGACCTGGCTCAGGTGGGTGCTCACCTAACAAAGACCTGTCTTCACTTCTGAGCTTCAACGACACATGGTCAGGGCCAGGCTTGACTGAAAGTTGCGGTCTCAATCCTCCAGGGAGAGGGAGAAGAGAGTCAGGCTTTGGAAGACATCTCTCTGGTCATCTCTCCCCAGGACCTTGCACCTGCCCGTCCGAGCTGCCCACCTCACAGGGCTGACCAGGCCGACTGGCCCTGGGTCCGGAGCCACAGGCCATCAGAGTCAGGGGCTGGCAACTCCCTAAGAAGGTAAAGGGGCCCCCAGTGTGTCAGGCCCTGGACAGAGGTTCTAGAACTGTTCCTGTCTCTCCAGGTGCCTGAGCCACCAGGAAAGCACCTGAATGCCCCCCTCCAAACCTTTTAGGAGCAAGCTGGCATTCAAGGTTAGCACGGCCTTTTCTTAGCCCCTCTGCCCCAGCTGCTGCCCTCAGCCCTTCACTGGCCCTTAGCATCCTGGAACTTGCTCTGTTGGTTACCTTCTCACGAACACAATACTTTGCTCTTTAGTCGTGCTTTTGAGCCAACAAGATGCTGTCACTCATCACATCCAATAGGATTCTCACAGCATCCTGGGAGGCAGGTGGGAAGCCCATAAGCAGCCCCATCTGGCACGTGAGGTACCTAAGGCACGTACCTAAGGCAACTAGGGGAGCTGGGGCCAGGATTCCAAAGCCCATTTCTCTCCCACTAGTCTCACAGATGAGCTCCGCTAGGAAAGCTAGCTCAGGAAGCCGGGCTCTGTTCAGGCCCCATTGCCCAGCTGCAAAGCAAAGGCTCCCCTATGCCACTAGAGGGCGCCAGGCGCTCACCAGAGAACATCCCGGGTCTCCTGGGCTGGCGACCCAATCCAGGGTGCTGTGTCCTGGGGAGAAACCGGATCAGAGACACCCGATCCAGCTCGGTGCTCCGCGTGCCAGCTGTGGCACGTGGTTTCGTGTATTCACAAAACAAAGCAGCTTTGTGTTGGTTAGAGAGGGGAGCTCTGGAATCTTCTTTCTTGGAACAGCCCTTGCTCTGTCCCTCACCATCATGGTCATCCCAGGTGGGAAAGGCAGGATAGCAGCCCTAGCAGCCCTCCCGGCTGCCCACACACCTGGGCCCTTCCCCTGGGTGTCCAGGGTTGAGGAAGACAAGCCTTATCGAGTGCCCACGGTGTCCAGGTTTCTCTTAGGTCATCTGAATTGATACACAGCAGCCTTGCTCAAGAAGCCTTGAGAGCCAGATCACTTACTAGCCGTTTGACCTTGGGCTAGCTACTTACCCTCCAGGAACTTCTCTGCAGTATGAGGACAATAGCAGTCCCCACCGGGAAGGGTTGAGGCGAGGGTTAAATGAGATTCAGGACTGGGCTGGTGTCTGGCAGGAGGGGAGCGCCAATAACCAAGGCTGCTCTTGATTTTATGGTCATCGTTAAGGAATTGGAGGCTCAGAGAAGTTACCTGGGAGCACAGGCCCCAGAGCCAGAGCCTGGTAGAACCAGAGTCTGCTCTGGTCTGGGTGGGCCCATGGCCAGTTCTCTGGGTACCGCTGGCTCCAGACCTGGTGCCCAGACCTGGTTCTAAAACCAGTTGGATCACCTGCCTTTTTCAATGAAGGAAAATGGAGAGGAAACTAGCATTTATTGAGTTCCATTTCTAATCTTATTACCCTTGGCACCCTGTCTGGACATGACAAAATGCTCTCCATCTGGACCCCAGACCCACCCTTACCCATATGCCCCCCCCCCACTGTTTTTGCTCACCCCGTTTCCTCCACTGGAAATGCCTTCTCCTTGTCTTTTCTGCTCTCTAAATCTGGCAGATCCTCATCTCCCATCCAAACCTCAGAATCAGAGCTTCTGACCCTCAGCCAGCGTGATAGCCACTGCCCGGCACTGACCCGGGAGCTGGACAAACGCTTGTTAAATTGAATGGAGCTGATCGTGGCCTGCAGCCAGCCTTCCTGGGTATCCAGGGAGCAAGACCAGAAAGGTGAAACGCTGAGAAGAATACCTGCATGATTGCCAAATAAATAAATATGGACTTATTTAGATCTCATGGGTGCATGAAATGCAAATTGTTCATGTATCAGGACCCTCCATGGTGTGGTGTCAATGTCCTAAGACATTCAGGGCCAGCCCTGGGAAATGGGGGTCCAGGTAAGGAGAAGCCCCAGGGGATTTGGGGGGGACGGGGAGGGCAGAGTGTGAAGCTGGCCTTCCTATAACCTTGTCCTTGCTCAGTCATGTGAGGATTAAATGGGACGAGGGATGAGAAGCACCTGGTTCAATCTGACTCGCCTGCATGTATTATTCAGTCGTTTATTCAGTCTGCACACACGAAGCACTGTGTGCCAGACTCTGGAACCACAGATAAAGCCAGACTTGGTCTCTTCCTCCCCAGTGGGGTCTCTGATCTGGTGGGGAGAGTAGACATGAAAGAGATCGTTGCAAACTCCATACTACAAGGAGATAAGCGCTCTGACAGAGGCAGTAAAGGGCGCCCGGGAGTGGAGAGGTGTTCAGGAAGACTCATGGAAGGAGGTGATGCTGAAGATAGGTCTTGAAGGATAAGGTGAGTTTTCCAGATAGAAGGAGGTGGTAAAGGGCCAGCGTGGCTCAGGAGTGGCACCCTGGCCATGGTGGTGGGGACCGATGCCCAATGTTGGCAGTCTTTCACATGGCAAGAGTAAAGAGGGAGTGTGTGGGGGAGGCGGGGGGCGGGGGGAACCGGGTGATAGACAGGAAGGCAGGAAGGCCCAGGTGACTCAGATTGGGTTTAT